TCATACACAATTTGTTAGAACGAGTTGATGTCATTTATCCTCATACACCACACTGAAGAATGCCAGGCCGTCGTTTAACCCTATACACCACCCTGAAGAATGCCAGGTCGTCATTTAAACTCATACACTTCCCTGAAGAATTCCAGGCCGTCATTTAAACTCATATACTACCCTGAAGAATGCCAGGACGTCATTTAACCTCATACGCCACCCTGAAGAATGCCAGGCTGTAATTTAACGTCATACACTATGATGATAAAAGCCAGCTCGTCATTTAACCTCATACACCACCCTGAATTTATGCAGGCCGCCATTAACCCTCACACACCACCTTTAAGAATGCCAGGCCGTCATATAAACCCATGCACTACCCTGCAAAATGCCAGGCCGTCATTGAACCTCATACACCACCCTGAAGAATGCAAGGCCGTCATTCAAGCTCATATACCACTTTGAAGAATGCCAGGCTGTCATGTCACCTCATACACCACCTTCAATAATGCCAGGCTGTCATTTAACTTCATACACCATCTTGAAGAATGCCAGGCCGTCATACAATGTCATACACAACTTTTAAGAATGCAAGACCGCCATTTAACCTCATACACCACCCTGAAGAATGCCAGTCAGTCATATAACCTCATAGACAACTTTTAAGAATGCCAGGCTCTCATTTAACCTCATACACCACCCTGAAGAATGCCTGGCCGTCATTTAAGCTGATATACCACTTTGAAGAATGCCAGGACTTCATTTAATCTCATACACCACATTGAAGAATGCCAGGTCGTCATGTAAACTCATACACTACCTTGAAGAATACAGGGCCTTCACATAGACCTATACACAACCTTGAAGAATGCCAGGCCGTTATATAAACTCATACACAACCTTGAATAAAGCCAGACAGTCATTTAACTTCATACATCATCTAAAAGATTGCCAGGCCGTCATTTAACCTCATACACTACCCTGAAGAATGCCAGGCCTTCATTTAACCTCACACACCACCTTGAAGAATGCCAGGGGTCGTTAAACCCTCATACACAATTTGTTAGAACGAGTTGATGTCATTTATCCTCATACACCACACTGAAGAATGCCAGGCCGTCGTTTAACCCTATACACCACCCTGAAGAATGCCAGGTCGTCATTTAAACTCATACACTTCCCTGAAGAATTCCAGGCCGTCATTTAAACTCATATACTACCCTGAAGAATGCCAGGACGTCATTTAACCTCATACGCCACCCTGAAGAATGCCAGGCTGTAATTTAACGTCATACACTATGATGATAAAAGCCAGCTCGTCATTTAACCTCATACACCACCCTGAATTTATGCAGGCCGCCATTAACCCTCACACACCACCTTTAAGAATGCCAGGCCGTCATATAAACCCATGCACTACCCTGCAGAATGCCAGGCCGTCATTGAACCTCATACACCACCCTGAAGAATGCAAGGCCGTCATTCAGGCTCATATACCACTTTTGAAGAATGCCAGGCTGTCATGTCACCTCATACACCACCTTCAATAATGCCAGGCTGTCATTTAACTTCATACACCATCTTGAAGAATGCCAGGCCGTCATACAATGTCATACACAACTTTTAAGAATGCAAGACCGCCATTTAACCTCATACACCACCCTGAAGAATGCCAGTCCGTCATATAACCTCAGAGACAACTTTTAAGAATGCCAGGCTCTCATTTAACCTCATACACCACCCTGAAGAATGCCTGGCCGTCATTTAAGCTGATATACCACTTTGAAGAATGCCAGGACTTCATTTAATCTCATACACCACATTGAAGAATGCCAGGTCGTCATGTAAACTCATACACTACCTTGAAGAATACAGGGCCTTCACATAGACCTATACAAAACCTTGAAGAATGCCAGGCCGTTATATAAGTCATACACAACCTTGAATAAAGCCAGACAGTCATTTAACTTCATACATCATCTAAAAGAATGCCAGGCCGTCATTTAACCTCATACACTACCTTGAAGAATTCCAGGGGGTCGTTAAACCTCATACACAATTTGTTAGAACGAGTTGCTGTCATTTAGCCTCATACACCACCCTGAAGAATGCCAGGGAGTCGTTTAACCTTATACACAACCCTGAAGAATGCCAGGTTGTCATTTAACTTCATACACCACCTTGAAGAATGCCAGGCCGCTATTTAACTTCATACATTACCCTGAAGAATGCCAGGCCGTCATTTAACTTCATACACTACCCTGAAGAATGCCAGGCCGTCATTTAACCTCATATACCACCTGAAAGAATGTCAGGTCGTCATTTAACCTCATGCACCACCTTAAGAATTCCAGGCCGTCATTTAGCCTCGTACACAATTTGTTAGAACGAGTTGCTGTGATTTATCCTCATCCACCACACTGAAGAATGCCAGGCCTTCGTTTAACCCTACACACCACCCTGCAGAATGCCAGGTCGTCATTTAACCTCATACACTTCCCTGAAGAATTCCAGGCCGTCATTTAAACTCATATACTACCCTGAAGTATGCCAGGACGTCATTTAACCTCTTACGCCACCCTGAAGAATGCCAGCTCGTCATTTAACCTCATACACCACCCTGAATTTATGCAGGCCGCCATTAAACCTCATACACCACCTTGAAGAATGCCAGGTCGTCATATAAACCCATGCACTACCTTCAAGAATGCCAGGCCGTCATTTAACCTCATACACCACCCTGAAGAATGCCAGTCCGTCATATAACCTCAGAGACAACTTTTAAGAATTCCAGGTTCTCATTTAACCTCATACACCACCCTGAAGAATGCCTGGCCGTCATTTAAGCTGATATACCACTTTGAAGAATGCCAGGCCTTCATTTAATCTCATACACCACATCGAAGAATGCCAGGTCGTCATGTAAACTCATACACTACCTTGAAGAATGCAGGGCCTTCACATAGACTCATACACAACCTTGAAGAATGCCAGGTCGTCATTTAACCTCCTACAGAACCTTAAAGAATGCCAGGCCGTTATATAAACTCATACACAACCTTGAATAAAGCAAGACCGTCATTTAACTTCATACACTACCCTGAAGAATGCCAGACCGTCATTTAACTTCATACACTACCCTGAAGAATGCCAGGCCGTCATTTAACCTCATACACTACCCTGAAGAATGCCAGGACGTCGTTTATCCTCATACACCACCCTGAAGAATACCAGGTCGTCATTTAACCTCATACACTTCCCTGAAGAATTCCAGGCCGTCATTTAAACTCATATGCCACCCTGAAGAATGCCAGGCTGTAATTTAACCTCATACACTATGATGATAAAAGCCAGCTCGTCATTTAACCTCATACACCACCCTGAATTTATGCAGGCCGCCATTAAACCTCACTCACGACCTTGAAGAATGCCAGGTCGTCATATAAACCCATGCACTACCTTGAAGAATGCCAGGCCGTCATTTAACCTCATACACCACCTTGAAGAATGCCAGGCCGTCATTTAACCTCATACACCACTCTGAAGAATGCCAGGCCGTCATTTAAGCTCATATACCACCTTGAAAAAGGCCAGGTCGTCATTTGTGTTCTTTGAAAATGTGCTTTTTCCTCACCAGAAGTTTGAACTTTGTTTTGTCCTCCAAAATGTTTTCAACCTGTCGGACCTGATCCATGGTTTGGAAGGGGAAGCCAAAGTTGTCGATTGATTCTTCCACCTCCCCTTGACTTCGGTTCTTGTCGGCCTGCTCCGACAGTCTTTGGATGGCAATGCTATTGTTTCTTACCATGGCCTTGATTGTTAGCAAGGTTGAGAATAGTATGCGATCTCTGCAAATACATAATTCACTCATCAAAAACAAGTACAAAACAACATGTTTTATAATAATACTCTTAAGGAAATTACAGTTTCCGGAAATTTATATGTTTGATCTATGACTATTTCACTATTACCTTTCAAGGGGGTCAATTGGAAGTGTTACATTTCCAGCATCCCTCATCATACTTGGACTAGGTCTGTAATTGAAAGAGTTCACTACTAAGACATGACAGGCACACCCTGTTTTCCAATACTGATCTATACTTAGGATCCTTTTTAAATTTCCTTCACAAGTTTATACAGCAGGGCTCGATTTAAGAGATTTTAACCTACTTGCACCAGGTGCAACCTAAGATAAAAAACTAGTTGCACCAGTCAAATTCCAGTTGCAATGTTTGTATTGCAATATGTAATATCAGAAATATGCTATTGCATTATTTAGATGTTTTATTCAGAAGTTTACCCACTCAAAAATTGACTTGCGCCTGGTGCAAGTTAGACTAATAACTAGGTTGCACTTTGTAATATTGGCTTGCACCAGTGCAAGTAACAAAGCACTAAATCGAGCCCTGTACAGGCAGGCTTCATGCAGGTATTGCAGTAATTGCAGTCCATTTGAGTAAAGAATGTTATCCAGTGCGGGTTACAACTTCACACTAGTCTGCGAGTCCGGGGCCAGTAAAAATTACAACAGGCAAGTACAAATTTATCAGTGTCCCCATTGTATTAAAATTGCAATGACATTACCCCTTTACCCATGCAAGGGAAGCTATTTTAGTTTACTTATAGACTATACATACATTCATGCAGGAAGAGGTATAAGAAAAAGTCTTACCGAATTGTTGTTTTGTTCGGCACTCTTGGATTAGTGTAACTGAAAATGTTTAAGTAGAAAGGTACATCATTTTGGATGCTTGATGGGTATATTAAGATGTTAATAAGATTTTACCAAATCTTATGTCAATATAAAGTGAATGCCAACATATCTGTCCAGAATTGTTTATCGGATCACACCAATATTTTTTAAATGGAAACCGAAATGGAATTGGGTATGGTTACTTGTATCAACAACTGCTATATAATAATTTGCAACTACAGGTATGATACATAAAGTAACACCAACTTTGAAGTGATAGACCTCTTGATTGGAGTTTGAAAGGAGGAAAATGCGTCGCTGTGGAAGAACTTGTTGGTTCATCAGGCTGCGTGTTACTTGGGACCCTTGCATGACTCTCGCAGTCGGTATCAGAACTGGAAATGGGAAATATATTCAAAGCTCTAACTTGCAGTGTAACAATACCAATTGGAGATTAAAAAACTCTGAGCCAAGAATAGTTACCTATCATATCATGCATTGTCTTGAAATAGCAAATGTTGTAAGTTAATGTACATTATAAATATTTACTGCCTTTATGCTTTATTTTATTTACAAATTTTTAAATGCAGTTGTTTTATATATAGGCTATATTTTATATTGCCCATGTTTATGCACTGATATTTTCAAACAGGAAATAAGAACCTTGCATCATTCGCAAAAGAAAATTCCGGCAGACGTGGAAGACATGGCAGAGGATGTTGTTTCTTCTTCAAACTTTCTCGGCCGTTTTCTTCACTACAATATTTTCAGTTGTTAAACAAAACAGCAGTAACCAGTTATCAACAAAAGTTACTTATTCTCCATACACATGTGAGAGATTACATGGAGAGACTGCAGTGGCTGCAATTGTTATAATTACATATGTTGGTAACTAGATTAATGTAAGTTTATATCAATGACCGAGACACTTGTTCATTTGTAATTTTGACTCACTGTTATTGTACTTTACAGTATTTATAAGAAGTTCATCAATTTTTATTTTTTTTTAATCTTATGACAAACCTTTCACGGACTTGCACTTGTGTGTTGTTCCTGGACAAGTCACCTTCACCTTTCTCATGTCCTTGTTCATCTTCATTGCAATATTTCCCAGGACGGCGCCTACATGTGGACAGGTTCTGATTAGTGTTTAAAGTTAACAATATAAAAAAAAGATCTATCAGTAATTAGTACTGAGTATTAATGAGGGTTTAACATGCATTATGAAAAGGTGAAAGCCAAAAGTCATCAGTTATGCTAAATATAAATGTAAATACTTGGTTTACCTCTTCCTTGCTCTTGACTCAACATCAGTTGTATCAAGGTCGGTGGTTAGTCTCTCCTCCACCCTCTTACATTTAAGTCGAGCCTTTTTGTAGTCCTCTAAAATGATTCAGAGCATCATAACTAGGAGAAGACATATATGTTTTACATTTAACTAAAAAAAGAATCATATAAATGAACAAACATCAAGCTATTAACACTATTGTTCAACACAAAAACAAGCAGAATTATCAAAAACTCACCAAATTCTTTTAGAACACTACTGATTGGATGTATATCCCAGTCTTGTTCTGGGTTAATACCCCGTTCAATTGCCTTTGTCAGATGCGAACCCCTTATGTTGTTGGGCCAGAAACACTTCTTTCCCTCAATCCAGGATATAGGGACTACCTCAACTTCATCTGTTTGCTCAAACAATACTATGGCATACATCATCACAGATCTGTAAAAGATTGATATTTTCCTCATACATATATCAGAATTTGTGAGGAAATATATTTGTGTTAGAATATATTAGGCCATGCAATGCTTTCAAATCACACAAATGATCAATTTTATCAAATTGACTTTTTAAAAATGGAACAGGAAAAATCTCTAAACATATTCTTTAACATTCTATGATAACAATAATCATATTTCATTGATTTTCCTGTATGAATTTAGGAGCAGTCATGTTCAAAGGGGAACAACTCTAGTGGTCCCATTTGTGTATCTGTGATAGTTCTGTAAAAGATACGTTGGGTGCTAAGGGTTCATCTTAATTGTATAAGTAAATTCTGTCTGCAACCTTGTATGACAATAGTATTTAAAATACTATCATGTTGGTGTTTGCTTAACTTAATATTTAACAAAACATAATTTTTGTAGTGATCATCTATTTCCGAAAACTAAGTGAGTGTTACGTCCCTTTTTCCCTACGTTATAAAATGGCGGTTGACGTTTATCGGGAAATGAAAACGGCACATCATAATAACCATGTTGATTTTAGTTGTCACCCTAATTATCATTTACAATTAGAGCTGCAACTAATCCACCGTGAGTTTAACATTACAAATATGTTAATTACATGTACTAAGATAACTCACAGGTTGATGTAATAATTATTACATTCTATGAAACATACGCTAAATACGTGTTGAATGCATTAATTAATCACAATGAACAGTGACCACATGAATGTCAAACTGGATACAATGAATTGCTTGGCTAATATGTATTCCAAATAGCAGGTATTACCTGAATAATAACACCAAATTCAAATATTTTCCATACAAAATGTATGGTTGGTAAGGATATGGTTGAAGCTCTAAATCATTGGAATGGACACATAATTTTCATTGAATGGTAAGTGAACAGCCTTTGCAGCTATATTCTTTGTGTCTAAAACATACAATTTTTCGGCAAGACCACTAACCACAGATATATTCACCTTAAGTGAATCAAAGGGATAAGTAAACAAACATTGCCGATGATTTTTGGCAAACACAGAGCCTCAAATTATCTTGACATATGACATTCTTGATTATGTATGTTTCATTTTCAATAATAACTGAATTGTCTGGTGCTTTTGTTGACAACAGAAAATTTGGCATCTGAATTTGTTCATACTGGGTGCAGGAAACAAATATCTGAAAGAGGTCCTCTGGAATGTTTCTTTTTACAATATATTCCCCCTTTTTTCTTGGACGACTGGAGGTGCATTTTTTCAGTTAACCGTCGAATAACTTGTTCAAGAGGAAATTTTGGTTTTCTGATTAATTCTGTAGAGGTCCAAATCGCCTGGAGCAAATCGCCTGGAGCATTCGGGTAAGTGTATCAATGCATGGACATTGTACGATAACATTTCTTGACCATACAACTCTCCAAAATGTTTGACAAAAGAAACAAAGACTTCCTGGACATAATCAGCACACTGAGAATATACATTGCTGTTACATAACAAAGATACACCAACTGAAAGCATCATGAAGTTTTTGTACATAATGTTCGACAATTTCCCTCTTAGGGCTACAGGTCCGGTATATAAAAGAAATGTTCTTAATTCTGTAGCCTTCCATCTTTCAATTTCTTCAAGTTTTCTTCCCTTCCGTGCAAATTCTCGAGGCAAAAATGAGCCAAGGGCCAAGATAGAATTGGACAACAAGTTTGTAGTTGCACTTCCGATGCGAACATGTAATGGTCCTCTAGTCCAGATACTGATGATTTTCTTTACTATGCCTAAGCAAATAAGGTGCATGTAGTCAAGCGGGAATTGTGTTACCATGCCTATGTTTAATTCCTTCAACCTGGGCCCACTTGCACAAAACGATTGTATCTCTACAATAGTCGTAACTCTGATTGTAAGGTAATTGTAGGGTCACCCGCCTCTTGCACAAAGCGATCGTAAGCCTACAATAGTTGTAAGTTAAAATTGAAACCTACAATAGCCCACTACCTATTGTAAATGCCTACAATCGATGGTAAAAATGGCGTCGTACATGTATTTTTAGAGATAGAACATCACATTTGGAGTTATTGACGGAAGGTTAACTCATTTCAAGGTATAGGTTGCCTCGGCATGCCATATTCTCACTTTTGAGTAAGTTCGGCCACACATCGAACATGGAACCAAGCGTTCACATGCCATTTCCCTGAAACTCAGTTGCTGGTCTACACTTCGTTACTTGAGTAAAGGAGGTTTTTTAATGGAAATAGGTGATCTACATGGCGTTCACGAGTCCTCTGTGTCTCGTGCCGTCCATCGGACAATCCGTGCCATAAACATCGTTTTGGTCATCAAGTTCAATCCTGACGCAAATAAAGTTAGAATGCAAGATTTCTACAAAATAGCTGAATTCCCCCGCGTTATTGGGGCAATTGATGGTACACTTATTCCCATTAAACGACCACCTGCTGACGAAGAATTGGCCTACATTTGTCGGAAAGGCTTCCACGCTATAAAATGTTCAAGCCGTATGTGACGCCAACTTGAGGTAAACTTTAATTTCAGAGTAGCTTCCCTTGTATCTAAATATAGAATAAGGGAGTTAATGTTGTAACGATTTGATTACATAACACTGAAATGTTACGATATGACAGAATTGTAAAAACCAGTTTCGTTATTATGAGATATATGGGAAAGAATAAAGTTTCATATATACAAAAAATAAGTGGGAATAATAGAGTCAAAGCGAAAACGGCTGTAGGTGAATATTGGTACCTAATACGTACTCGTCTCCACCCCGAATTCGTACCCAAAACGAACTCGTACCAAAATAAACAATAATTCTTTATTCCTTGGTATTAAAGATGTATTCAAATTTAAGCACATAATTTATGTAGATAAATAAATAACACATACACACGTGTAAAATCACATCAGATAATTATCAAATATTGATAACAAAGCACATTGGAGCTGGTGATTTTGCAATAATTTCAAAGAGATATCGAAATACTTTTATTTTCAAGCAGTTGTTCAAACTAGTGGTCCCTTAAGTGAAAATAAAGTCAACTGAAACGAAAATTAATGTTTATATAAGCTTCTGTTTATTCCCCTGTTTCTTATCAATGTATACTTTTTTTATTGTGATTTTGATAACCTATAGATTTAGTGATATGCAATATTTATCAAAATGATCAGATGTATGAATTTAATGTCTCAGATACGATAAAAAAAAAAATGAAAACAATGAATAAAAGTGTTTAACTTTCATAATAGTTTGCTGATATTCCCAGACTAGAAAGTGGCCACGAATTCACTCTTCAATTTGGTTACGAATCCACTTAAGGGACGTAACTCTAAATTGTTGTGTTTGTTGCTATGGATAATCTTATCTTCAGCACAGAAGATTACGATTGTAACTTACAATCGCAATTGTAAAATGAGATGAGTTACAACTGTGCTACAATCGCTTTTGTGTGGCAAGAGTTACGATCGCGATTGTAATTTCGATTGCAAATGCCTACAATTGATTGTAGCTACGATCGTTTTTGTGCAAGTGGGCCCTGGATTCACCACGATGATGTTCTTCACATGACATTTCATCAAAAGCTACATCAGTTCTGAGTCTAGCATTCACATCAGGGAATGTCATTCTGTGCATAAAATATTCTCCTGGTTGTTCACAGCAATCACATCCATGGTAGCCACTATGTCCTTTGGTGAGTTTAACAAGTGCACGTGCAGGGGTATCACACACAAAATTTTCTATGATAACCGTATAGCATTTATTTCCCACAGTTACACCACTGACCATGATAGCTTTCATTTCATCAATGAAATGCTGCAGGTAAGAATTGATGTCAGTTGGTTTTGATGATCCTAACCACAAGCCAATAACAAATGGTTCTGGTTCAATTTCTTCTCGAATAAGACCTAAAATTGGCCAGAAGGAGTGATTTGTACTTTTGAATATAGGTAATCCATCAATGTTCACCTGGAGATGAAGTTCATCATATTGATGTAAGCTATTCAGTTTTGACAGTTTTAATTTAATTCCAGCTTCAATCCCAAAATGGTGATATTTACCCCCAGCTATGTTTTCAATGATGTATGTTCTTCTGGTTTGAAGCAGTGTCCTCCCATCCTTGGGAAGCATAGGAAAATATGGTCTGAGTAGAGCCAGTAGGCTGTTTACATGTACTATTGGCGTTGAACTGTTCAGTACCCATTCTCTAAGTTTATCCATGAAATAATCTGCTTCATTGTCCACTCCCTCTACATCACTGTCAGAATTAGATTCAGTTTCACTGCCTGGATTATTTCCAAAGAAACCTACATCTGAATCATGGTCGATATCACTTTGATCGACTGAAAATGTTTCTTCCTCATCAGGTGAATTGTAAATATTACTAATTGGATCATGTACATTGT